TGAAAAGAATCATGGAGAAGTACCATTTCTCTCCAGTGCTCCACATTACCTTTCTGTCACTACTTGCCTTTTCCTTTTCTTGGTCTTTTTAAAATAGGGTTTCACTATGCAGTTGAGGCTGGCCTTGAACTTACTTGTAGCTCATCCTGACCTTGAAATCAAAGTGATCCTCCTTTCACAGCCTCCTGGGTGCTGGGATTACAGCCATGCACCACCATGCCAGCTCCCACTTGCCTTTTCTGATAAAACTATAAGGGTCCTTTGTAAGTCCATCTCTGACTTGTATAAGTTGCATACTTAGATTTTTCTTGCTTATTAGTGAATAAAGGATAAATCTTTCCAACATAGAGAATTGCTGTCTGCCTTGCTGCTTTGTCTCTTTGCAGGAGGCTGATCCTCATCCTTTTGGTCAGCTGCTGTGGAAGGCCATCTCTGTTGGTCTTTCTTCTCTGAGGTGCTGCTCTGTGCTTCTCTTACAGCACTGGCCATAGCTTGCATTTCACATACTTCATACCTGCTTGCTTTGGTTCTGCTTATCTCCTCATCAGGCTATTAAATGATAGAATTCTTGTTCATCATTTCCTTTCTGTCTCTCACTACTTGCTACTTTAGAAGGTTGCCCACTCCAGCGAGAGTGTACACTCACACCCTTAATCCCAGCATTGGACCATGAATCAGTCACAAACTCTAGAACCTGCCTCATGACTGCATGAGACGTTAGGTGGGATATCTAGGCATAAAGCATAACAACTTGCTTACCCAAGTTCCTTGACATAAAATCTAAACCTCCTATTTTTCCGACATCAGAGTCATGATGTTCTTTATTTATCATTCTTAGATGTACTTTTTTAATATGTATGTATGTATATATTTATTTAGTACAGAGTCTCTCTATACTTTTCCTGTCTCACACTCCTCAACACTCAAATTACAGATGTGCGCCCCCAAGCCCAGTTTTGGTGGCTAGCTCAGCTCCTGGGGCCAGCACGGCATGTGGTACCAGGGATCAAACCTGAGAACCTTGTGCTTGCCAGGCAGGCACTTAGACTGCTGAGCTATCTCCCTAGCTAGATATACTGTTTTTTACCCTGATGTGATTTGCATTGAGAATATTCATGAGTATCTTCTACTCTCTGTTCATAGGATCTTCTGCATACAGTCCAGACAAGCATAGTGGTCACCAGGATGACCTCTGATCAAAAAGTCATGTTTATGTTCTGACTCTTGCCTGTTGTACATCTTTTGTCTGTCTCTGCTTCTTTGCTAGCCTTCTGGTCCCTTCTGGCCCCTTGAGTCTTGCTGTTGCTCTTCTCTTCATCTAGAAATCTGAACTCCCATGACATTCTCTGTATATGTCTACTGTAATACATTCATAATTTTTACTTTTAACATTTTTTAAACCCAGAGACATGGCTCAGAGGTGGAGCCCTAGACTAGTATGCAAGGCCCTGGGTTTGATTCCGAAAAGTGGAAAGCAACAGAATTTTTTTTCCTATGTTCCTTAGTAATTAAAATCCTTGTTTAAAAAATCAAAAAATAAAATAAAAACCTTACACATAGCTGTTACATTTGTTTTTAAGATTCTGTAGTATTTTATAAGGATTTGAAGATCTCAGGTGTAATACATGAGGGCTATATTAGATTAATTTTTGTAATGAGCCATATTGTAGGTCAGTTATAAAAACTCAATGACTAGTTAATCCTGTAATATTTATTATATCCTCTCCTCTCTCCACTATTTAAATTTTTGCACTTAAAAATAAAAATGTTTTCCTGAATTTGATGGGATATAAAATTTGCTTTATAAGATCAATAACATTTAAATAAATGTTTCTGAAGCTCTCAAAGATTAGCACCAAGTCCTTCAGTGTGGGCTTCTGTTTGAAAGTGTGGCTTATTCTGATGTTTGTACCTCCAGATGCTTTTTCTGGAGAGCTCTTTAAGATGCAGTGACTGGAGAGCTGGGCTGCAGACAAGGCCAACTCAGGCTTCTGTCTTGGTAGAATACCTTGTGTTCCTGGTGGGAGGATCTTCAGATACTCCTTCTGAGCCTGCTTCTCTCTTCCAGTGTCTTGAACGGAAGCTCTCAGAACCTGCTATGTCTCCTCTCTTCCCTCCTTTTGCCAACTTGACTTCATTCTTTCTCCCCCTCACAACTATGGCCTCTATCCACTAAAATTCTCTAGAGGAAAAGAAAGCCTCAAAATAATTGTAATGTATAGGTTGTATAATTTGTTTTACCATGAATATTCATTGAAATAAATTCTTAAATGCTACTACAGATTTGCCAGCCAAAGAGAATTTGATTAAAATTGACTTTTACTTGTATGTTATGTCTGTTTTTAAGGGACTTGACAAGTCATTTTGTTGGGTAGATAAAATACTATTTTCACTGATACATGTATGACTTTTCTTCTAGATATGATAGATTTTATACCCCATGGATGATCAGTAGTAACTTTGCTACATTACGAGTGAAAAGGGGGAGGGTAACAAAACCAAAAAAAGACTTGCTTGCTTCTCCCTCTACATGATCCTGTGTTCTAAGCACAGACGTAAGAAACGTAATTTGTGAGGCTTAATGCCTTTAATTATAGTGACATTCATTTTTTTGTTTTAAAGGATTTTATGAAATATTTGAGAAAGAATAAAGGGTACTTTAACACCAGCTGGAGCACACACAGTTGAATGGTGAATGGCAGCGTCATTAGCAGATACTGGAAAAACTAGAGTTCTAGCTTTCAGCCATGTATCATGCAACTCATGTCTTCTTTTCTGTAAAGCAAGAATAGTTCAAGTGCTACAGAATTCATTCAGGTTCATGAAAATGGAATTCTACCAGCACTAATTGCTTTCATTAAATATTGATGGAATAAGTGAGTTCGGAATTAACTACATTGTTTTTCAAGTGAAATAATCAAGCACATCAGATATTTGCAAATTTTGCTTTGTACCCTACAATAGTGGGCTTGTGTACTTAATAAAAATAACGTGTTACTTTTAGTAGTAAGGTTTGCCAAAATGTTTATAATGTGATTCAGTTTTCAAATATATGGTTATAAACACATTTTCAAGCACATGCCTTCTATATCAATGAGCTGTATTCATAAAATAATAACTGTAATAGAATTGTATTAAAATTTGTCCCTTAGTATACATTTGGAAAACATTACAATTTGTTTAAATAAACTTGTGAAAGCCTGAAAAGCATTGTGTGCAAACCTTAATTTAAAATATTCTCACATCTTATCCCAATTCTTAAGTAGATAATGTAGCCTGACTGGCTTTAAAATGTGTTGAATTATTTATGCATATTTATGTTCATTTAATTTCCCCACAGTTGGATTTTAGAGGAATTTTAGCATCTTTGGTACAGAGCTACAATTTTGTTTGGTAATCTTTTTGATATTAAATAGAGAATTAATGTAATCAGCACCATTTCTCTGAGTTATATTTTCTCATCATTCTTTGAGAGCAGGAAAAGTATGAATAAAGCAATATTAAAGTCTTCTAGGAGTATAAAATTTTATCCCATGTATACTATCTCTCTATAATGATTACATATTAGTATAAATTTTTATATTTAAAAGTCAGTATGTTGAGATCACACATGCTTTAGTCTGAAAAGGTGGTAGAAATTAAATATTTTCTTACATTGAAAGATTTCTCACATAGCATCATGGCTTTTCTTCTTTGAAGGCTGAAAACAGAGATCAGTTTTGAAGCCCCCACTCCACCCCTCCTGTTTCTTCATCACTGGTCTGAATTTCTGATTGACGAGATGACAGGGGTAGCCACGCGTAGTTTGGAATGACGTTAATCTATATTTTATAAATACACATTGATTTTATATCTTGACAGTGTCCTCATAAGAGATAAGAATCAGCATTTTCTTTTTATCTTTTCTTTGTATGAAATTTTAACTAGGAGAGGAATATCTATTCAAAATGTCATACCATAAAACAAATTATGATGGCTTTTTCAATATCTAGACTTTGCTTGTGAATTTGAAAGTTTTTCTTTGTAACTGTGATTGATTGATTTATTCTTCTTCTACCTTGGAGAGTGATTATTTAAACCAGTTGTCTATAAGAGGAAAACTCAGACAAGATTGTCTGAGACAATCTTTTCTTCTAATTGACCAGCATAGTTACTCTAGGATATATAGTATGTATTTGTACTGTAATTTGAATACCTATTTCAAATCTTAATATATTCTTAGATCAAAATGAATCTGATGATCACTTACTTGCAAATGAAAACTCAGTTATTTTGGCTGTGGTATTTAAAGATAGGAACAGCCCACTTACTATTATTAAGTAACATTTAATAAGCACCGTAGGCTAGA